ACATGTGGACTGACAAGTACCCTTCAATTGGGCGCCAGCCTCCCGTATCTCCCATCCCAACGCGACCTTTTCCTTACAGTGAGAAAAGGACACGTGTGTGCGAGTGGGACGTGCGAGAAGCCGTAGCACAAATCGGCGGCCATTATTACTTCCCTCCGACTAACCGGCGTTCTGGGTTCGTGAAGCCGGGTTTGTTATTATCGATACGCACTTCCCACCTTACTCGGTATTGTTGCCATTTAACGAGTTGATCGTCATTCCGTGGACGGCAGTAGAACCCCACTGGCCGCGCACTCTTTGCACCGAATGCCAGCGTTTCGATCGCTACGAATCAAAAGGCTTTCACTACCGGATACTGAGTGAAGACGAGCACAAGGAAAGAGCCACGCGGCTGAGACAGTCCACGTCTGATACGGAACTAACGAACGAACGACGACGGGATTTGATACGGAAACGAGACACGCGAAGCGTGCCAAAGCCCTTCCGTTCTAAACGACGGGCCGTAGCCCAGTGGGAAGCGCGACAATATTTTTTGGATTGAATTCGGATTTCAAGTTTTTCCTCCTCCCGCTTTGTCCGCGCGCGTTCTGCGATGCGCGGAAAACGATCGACTTGCTTCATCGGACTAACACGGGGGATTTCAGTTTCGTTTGTGTCCACACACTCAATTCTAAAAAATCCTTGGCGCACCCCATCTTGCTGTCTTTCTAGGCCTCTTTCCACACATCTAACACTCCGAACGGAAGACAGCACAGGGCGTGAGGTTGCCCGTCACACTCGTTCCATTGTTGTCAGACTTCACCATCCTTGCTAGGATTCCGTAGTGTGCCGGCCAAGCTAGTGCCGAAGCTCAACCATCCACAGTCATAGCGTGGTATGGTGTGCATAACGTGCACACACTCAAAACACACACACACACACACACACACACACACACACACACACACACACACACACACAAGAGGACACAGACACGCACACCAACCCCAGCCTGGCCCCTTTATTTTGTTGATTTGTTTTAAATTTTTGCATCTTTATTTTTTTTAAACACCTAATTTGCCAACAGAAAACCGAAAATCATTTCAAAAAAAAATACAGCACAACTCAGGAACCATATCCCTCATGATAAAAAATGCAAAAAAAAAATTCCTGCTTTTCTTTTTATTTTTATTTTTATATTTTGTTTAAATCGAATTTCGTTTATCATTTTTTAAAAATCTTAAATGAAGTCGGATTCCGAAATTAAAAGCATAGGATTGTAGGGTTTTCCAAACCCTACACCCCTATATTTTTTTAATTTTTTTTACGTATTTTAAGGGGTAAAAAAAAAAATTAAAAAAACAGGACGCCGACTGGGCCTCGTAGGCCGCGGGCGCGGCCGACTTTTTCAGCCGCAGCGGCCGAAATGCCCGCGGCCTAGGCCGGGGCTCCCACATAGCTGCTGGGGAAGGAGAAAGGACACGGAGGAGGAAGAAGGCCAGGACTAGGGAGGAGCGCCAGAGGTACTTACCTGACTATGGTGGAAGCCATCTTCATCACCTTGGTGGGCGCTGTAACAAGAAGGCCCAGCCGGGGCAGAGCTACACCAAGAAGCTTCGAGGTAGAGGCAGGCATGGCCGCCTGAGTTAGAGCAGCCATAACTGCTTTGTGTTGTCCGTTGGACGTCAGGGTCAGGCCCAAGGAGTCCGCCATAGCCTCGGCCTTGGATGAAGGAAGAGGAAGGCGGCCATGGCTATGGTGGACCTCATGTGATACCAGCAGTAGAAGAGAGGATTCAGACATTGATTCTAGTTCAGCCATTCAACATTGTTACTATTATTTCTTGTGTGAATATAAGAGGAGAAGATAAGGAGGAGAAGATAAGGAGGAGGAGAGTGGTTGGCGAAGAAGAGGATTTTCATTAGTCTATGCTGGTGTACGTCATCTTCTTTTACTTTCTTTCTTCTTCTTCTTCTTCTTCTTAACCTCTCTCCTCTCTCAAGTTCATTTCGTTTTGCAATTGGACGACATTTTACTGTCTGATGAATGTATACTTTGAAATTGATCAGGATCATAACATTGGTATCAGAGCGGATTCTACTTGCTGGTGAGAGTTGACTTTGCTCCCCTAACCGTAACCTAAGTGGTTGAGGGGACCACATAGGGTTGGATGTTAAGGGAAGTGGGGCAGTGTGGCTAAGGGAAGCTGCCCCCACCTGGTTAGGTCATGTTGGGTCGACATTGAACCTTACCAGGTTGCTTGAGAGTGAGGTTGGGGTCGC